CTCCGTATTTTGGTGCAAGGTGCCATTAAGAACGTCCAATACCTTATTCCTCTCACTGAGACAGGAGATAAGAATCTCTTCAACTCATTTCGAAATCCCTTGGAAGCAATTGTGGGTTCGTGTCCCGAGTCACATTTTTAAAGTATTTCATGAAAATTTCGACAGGCATGGCGTAAAATGCTTTGCCCACAGTTGCTCCCTTGATCTGAAGAACCCACTAACGAAAGAGAAATATCTCGCCTGATGAAAATTACCATCCTAAAGTTATTAAGTTTATGAGAGAATTAGATAACAGATTAGTGCGTTGTGAAGTGAATTATTTTCTTGAAAAAATTTACAAATTTTTTTAATGATAAGTTAAACAGGAATATTAGTTATAAGTCTTTAACATGACCATAATGCTCTGTTCAGCGAGCTTGATCTGCTTCAGCTACTTGCCGAACATGAGAATTTTTTTGTGTACGACGCTCTTTCCCATTTAAGGCTCTGAGTGTTTTCGTAGTCGCATTTCTAGACCGCTTCTAAAAGACAATGCATATGTGTCTGTAGGGAATATTAAGTTTGTACGGTATGCAGGTGGTATTTCTGGCATTCCCCACCACCACGAGTAAACTGTTATTAAAAAATGTTTCGCAGCAGTCTCCTTGCATCCACATGTACAGAGAGCTACTGTTCCTTGATGTACTATCAACTACGGTGCCAAGATGTATATGACATCGTTTGCGCAAACAATTAAAATTATTGATAGTTCAGTTTAAGCTCACGGTACAGTTTGATCTCAGGTTCAAAGCTAGCCTTAATTCCGCAGCTGCTATAAAATAATCTCGATCACTGTTGTATCTTAATTTATACTAAAGACGAAACTAAGAAGCAGCTAACGTTCAAACGACAGGGGTTTTGTTGTGGAGTTTGCGTGTTGCCGTTCGCCAAAACACAGGCATCTTTGAGGACTATTACTTTTACACTTTGCATTACCTATCACTAGATCTCTTTAGCTTTTGCTTATCGTGATACAACTGTTACTTTGATTTATTTTTCACTATTTTAGCAAATGTTTGATAAATGGTTTTAGTTCGATCATATGTGGTACCTTTTTCTTTTAGCTGCTTCGTCTCATTTGCCTGCAGTCATGCTGTCACAGGAAATATGTTCATTTTCCATGGAATATGGCACTTGTCGTGGCAGTTTCTCCCGCTGGGCGTACAATCGAGTAATGCAGTTGTGCGTGCAGTTCGTTTACAGTGGCTGCGGTGGAAACGAAAACAACTTCGATTCCAAGCACAACTGTGAGCTCCGGTGTATGTCAGGTATTTACCGGTATAGGCTTCCTTGCGGTTTCGTTTGAATCATGGATTTAGGTCGAGCAACCCAAACAAATGTGGTAACCCAAACGACTGCAGGCATTATCCCTGCATCTTCCGCTGTTGTTCTAAAAACAACCGTTGCGAACACTACAACAGGTACTTCTGACGTTTTTCTTTGGCACCTCTTCCCTCTCGATGTTGGCGGTTCTTGTAATTATTTTGTAACATAGTTCGTCATGTTGGTTTTTTTAAAGTTGCAGCTTCATTTTCTTTCATGGTAATCTTTATTGCTTCTAGTTAGTGACCTGAATGATTTTCTATGCCTTTTTCACGTAACAATATTACATTTCATGGTTCATGGCAGATTTCATGATGATCCACATTTATCACCAGCAGTGCATGGTCAGCATTAAGACGGTTGCTCCACCAAGCTGCATCTTTAAAGATTCACTGGCAAAGAAATGTCTAAATGCCCCTGAATATATTGCTTTGTTGTTGCTGTTGTGTGATTGTCTGCTTAAATTGTGCTTGACCAGCATAATATCCTACGTTAATCTGCTGACGGACATAATAGCGTCCTCTTTATAAGTAGGGGCGCATGTTAAACCCAAACGAACGATTGGAACGACGTGATGCTCAAAACTTTATCAATTTTGCCATAGCTTTTCTATGTAGGTGTTAGGGTTCATGACAAGTCCTCGTAATTTGATCACAGCAGCAAACATGTCTACCAGAGTATCCTTTTACGTCAGAAATATTAAGGTTGTTCTTGAGTGGTTCGTAAGAAATACATTCTAAATGTCTGTTAGCTCATTACGACTCCAGGAAGATGAATCAGGAACCAGGTACCCACTTTGCTAGCCCCATCGCTCATACGTTCCCTTTTACATCTGCAAAATTTTCTTTTCAAGCAGAAACGACTCGTTCTCAAGTGGCGCGTGACATTTGTGACATACCTAACGACTATGGAAACTGCGACCGCCATTTCATCCGTTGGGCTTTCGACGGGGAGACAAAATCGTGCATCCAGTTCGAATACTCCGGTTGTGGTGGAAACGGAAACAACTTCGAAACGGCGCTCAGTTGCGAACGGCTTTGCCTCGGTATTTACTCGCTTGTTGTTTATTTCTTTCACTGACTGCCATTTGTGTATCGCTTGATCTTTTTGCACTATAGGAAAAACCGATGGCCCAGCTCTGTTGAACATTAAGGTGGCGCCTGAAGCAGTGACCATCCCGGCGTTTACGAAAAAGCACTTCCGTGGTACGTGTATTTGATCTATTGACTATAACTCACAACTACAGATATGAAGGTTTCTATGTGCTGAATGCCTTTCAGATACTGCCTAACCACGTCTGCCATCCTCCCTCCATCATTAACTTTAATGGACCTGAAGCTTGTATCTCTGAGAGGGCTCCGCACTTTGTCAGACTGATGCTATGATTTTCATTTACGTAACGATACAGAATATTCAGCTCATCTATATTTTCATCATATATTATGTATGATGAATATTTAGCTCAGTCATTCATGTGTCTTTTTGAAGTAGTCCGTATTGCCAGTGTTTCCTTCAATGTTTTACGGTTCCGCCATTTATAAGTAAATTCCCTCCGCGAATACGACTTTAGGTGCAAATAGCTGATTTTTGGGCACGGGTACAGTTTCGTAAAGAAAAGTGTAAACTGTCATCTGCTTAATGCGAGCAGCAAATTCGAATTTTTGTTACTTTTGTCTCTGAGCTGCTTTTGCTTGTGTTTGATCGGCACTTTGCTGAAAGTCAGTTTGCAATATTTAGGTCAAGAGTTTTAGTTTTGACACTAAAGTGTCTTCACCCTCGTTTGTTAGTCGTTCTTTATCCATATCGGGAGATTACAGTTGTGGTTAGGATGCTAAGGGTCAGTGAAAATCACGAAATTGCTACTCTTCTTACAGGCATATTAAAATGGGCTGAGAACAGGATGGCTCACTTTTGCCGAAAATTGTTTCTTCGAATCGAGGCTGTTGATATTACCGGATTGGCAGAAATCCGTTGACTTAAGAAACAGGCTTTCTGACGCAGCTGTTTTGATTATAATACAAGGAAATGGTAAGCTTTGAGAATCAATGATGTATAATATAATACTTGATAATGTCTCATAAACCAAACTGATTAGGGCTAACGCAAAAAAGTAAATGAAAAAGTAATCCATATAAAAGGTCGAAATTAGTTTTTTAGTCTTAAGAAACAAAATAGTAAGGTGATTAGCAAAAGACTGTAATACTGGTAGAATCGCTCTGTCTGGCGTGTTTTGATTGTTAAACACCAAAGCTCAGTTTTTTGAATTTTTGCATTTCCAAGATTAATGGCACAGACTGTGTCCTGGAGGATCAAAGCCGTACATTTATCAGAAGCCATTTTCTTCTGGTGCTAGAAATTACATCGTGATAAGTAAAGTGGTCATTTTTTCCACATGTCATTGACAACCAGGTTAATGACTGGTTGCTATCACTGCACCAGGCAAAATTTGTTCAAAGTGTTCTGCTCCATTATCAAATTTGTTATTCTGAATTATCACTTTAGAGGCATTTCCTCGTGAATAAGAAAATAGAAGAGCCTATGAACTTTTTGTTTTTTGTACAAAGTACGAATCCGTTTTAAATATGTTGAGATTTTTAGTCCGCCCTACAATACTTCCGCTGAATGTTTGCCATCACGTACTGGATCCTGGTCCATGCAATGGCAACTATCCTCGCTGGTACTACGACGACGACGAAAGGACATGCAAAGAGTTCAATTACAGCGGATGCGACGGAAATGGCAATAACTTTGCTTCTAAGGACGACTGTTCGAATAAATGTTTGACAGGTAAATGTTAACAAACATTTTTTGTGATACTGTAGTTCAGTAGTTATGAGCGTTAGTGTTATTTTTTGTTGATTTTATTTATTTGCTTTTGTGAAAAAATAGCGTCAAACACGATTTACTTCTGCACAAAGCAAAAGACACTGTGATCAGTCTGGTAACTTACCAATACCGACGTTTCGGCCCTTGTCTCATGGGAAATATTACGTAGGAGAAATAGAGAACACCTTCACGCAGAGAACAAAGACCTACCTGTTAAGCTGGGGAGATGGGTGATCGCAAACGGGTTATAACGAAGGATCCAAGAAGAAAACAGAGCGTCGCCCCCAGCAAAGTCGAGGAACAATGCGAAAGGACCTTCGGGATTGTCCAGCATGCGGCCAAGCAAAGATACTCCCCCGATGGTCTGAGTGTAGCGGCATCATCAGAGAGACGCGCTGGTTATGCTGGTGGATAATAGAGGCATTAGTCATCCGATTCTGCGAAAACCTTAACCGTAACAAAGGATGCGAACTCTGCACGGATTGGATGAGACTCTTTACACTTGTCGCCCAGTGACTCTTTGACCAGCAACACGGACCGGAAACTTGCTTTCTAATTTCGGTACTATTGATTGCTGCAGACGACCAACCACATTCACGAAATATCATCGCCAACCTGCGTTTAAGAAGGCCTGTGAGACACGAGCCGAAACATGGGTATTTATCAGTCATGGGACTGACCACTTTGTCTTTTGCATTGTGTGTAAGTCGACCGTGTTTAACACTGTATTTTTAATAGGACCCTAAACAAGCTAACGAATTACTCTTGCTTTTGTGCTATTATATCATACTGGTTATTATATTTTTATTTATTCTATCCATGTTGATTTCTTATTAGCGAACGTATAGCTTGGAGAACATGCATGTCTTCGGCCAGTAGATAAATGTATCTTTAAGAACTACTGCTGCAGCCTTATCGCAGTCTTAATCTTCAGCGAACAGCCCTGTTCTTCCATTGCATTAAAAATGGCACCATTATGCAGAAACCGGGCATTCTTCGGAAGCACCGATGTATAGTGGCGTTATCGTGTTATGTGTCTTCACCATATCGTACATGATTCTAGAAAAAGACAAACCATTTCTCATTCAGTGCAAATATACAATACTTTGTTGGCGGCATGTCGACGAATATTGCTGGAGATTCTGATCTGCAGTTTTTTCGTTAAACGCAAACTGACATTCTCCACATGCTCATGTGGGCAATGAACTATTCTCCTTGTTGCTCCGTTGCGACTGCTTGAGAAACTCTTGCCTAGTTTCGTTTAAGAAAACTTTCTCACCCACCTCTTTCGCACCGGTTTTCCTTCCCTCTACAATATCGTTTACATCTCACCCAATAATTCATGACAGCCTTTGTCAGCCAATATTTTACTCCAGTCTAGGGTCAACAGTTGCTATTGATTCTTCCCAGACTGCCAGACTTGGTCATTCAGTTTAGTTTGTGCTAGGTTTCTGTTAATTTCTTAGATACAAGTGCGTCACGGTCAGAAGAAATCCCCCATTAGCTACTGCTGACTGATTTGTTGATCGACTGACTGAATGACTTCTGCGTGTCACACCACAACAGCGCTATTTGCAGGAGATCCGTAGAGTATATACTGGATTGAAAGGCCGTTTAAATCTTCCAACTTACATGCCACGAATGGAGCTGTAGGTGCGGCCTGAGCTGTATTTATTAATTGCTAATTCTTTTGATCAATAAATTCAAATCGATTTACTTCTTTGTTGTAGTTTTACTGAAAAATATATTACGAATCAATAACCTATCGATATTTGTGTATGTGCAAAGCGAATCATGCCCGACTTAAACGTCATGAAACTTGAAACTAAACTTCACATTGGTCACTCATCTGCGTCTGATTCTTCTTTAGTAACTGTCTACGTACAATTTATGCACTTGAAAGTTTTCATAATTTGAATTGTTCACTCATGAACTTGGGTACTTGTTTAATTTTTTCGTTTGACGTTTAAGGTGGCAAGAATAATGCGAAACCAGTGGAAATTACAAGCAAGAAAGAAAGTGAGAATTTTTACGCTTTTATTACTTTCATTCCAAAAATGGACCTTATTCTTTAATTATATTATTTTGATTCCGCTACTTGAGGAAGGTGCCGTACATCGAAAATGAACAAATATTTATTTGCGATTCTTTCATCTGCGTGTATAAAATATTTAATTTATGCGTACTATGTTTCTGTCTATATTTTTAAATTTAAATTCAGGCAGTCAGATTCGATTTGCGAGTTTGGGTCGATGAGAGAGAAGCGACAGACAGTGTCTCTATTGCTTCTGATCCTGTATCAACATTTGACCTTTAGCAGAAGGCAACCCGACTCCTCAGTAGAGTCTTTCGAAATACGTGTCCCAGGCACCTGTTTGCCGCCTCGGCTCATCGGCTCATTCAGCAACTAGTGCCTCTTTCATTTCCCTCTACGGATGCATTTAAAAGACGTGGCCAATCCGTTGCGGTTATCACTTTTTGTTCCGCAGAAGCAGCGGCTATATTCAAAGAATCTCTGAAATATTTTAACCAAGAATGATTCCTGAGCCCAGTTGTTGACCTGAGAAAGTCCATTTCAGCTGATCGTACCCAAAATGTTTCGGCCATGACCCATGATTTATGGCGATAGCTGAGCCAGAAGACAAAGATTAACTTGAACACATACAGTTTGTACCCGGGTTCGAAGTTTT